GAAAATTAAAACCAACTGTTCATCCATCTCATGCCTTGTATGAGTTACATGGGGGTGTTTGCATGTCATGGCAGCTCGTCATGGGTTATTTAATCCACAGTGAGATTGTGGAGAATGTGGGATGCGTATGGCTGCCATTTTGAAGATGAAACCCCTGTGGTTACATATCATGCAAAACTGGCAAGCAAGGGTTGTACAAGGCTTGTGTAATCCATTGTCTTTTTTAGGTTATAGAAGGATTGTTTAAACATTTCATGACCCACACTTTATTGGTTCATGGGACACCATAACCTCCTGAGTGGTGATTAGGTATAAAAAATCATACCTGTGTATGCTGTGACACATAATGGGTTAAGTAATCCCCAGTGATCTATAGCATATTGTCCAAATCCAGTCATATAGTCCTGGGTAAGCACTGCAGAGAGCTGAAGTAAGCGTGTCAGTCTTCATATTAGCAAAATTAGAGATTAATTTTAGGTAGTATACCTTTAAAAAAGTCAGTTGAAGTCAAATTGTGTAGTATTACTCAGTGGCTGGAAGGGACACAAAGCAAATAGCTCTCCTTCACCAGTTCACACTATGGCCCATCCTTTCTTTGCAGCAAATGTGTTTTTCTGTTAGGAAGCAGCTATCCTTTGATTTCCTCTTTTCTTTTTCTCAAAAGGGATCCCATGTTCACTGTGTAAAGAGCCTCCTCCCTTGCAAAGGGCTAATGTCCCCTCTTATCAGGCCTGTGCATGTATGCACCACATTTCCTTTAGTTTTTTAATCAGATCACATAGAACAATTCAGTCTTTCCGAGGGTCAACTGTTTTCCTTGAAGGTTTCTCTAAAACCTTCTGGCGTTTCATCTGTTTCAGTGTTGGCTTAGCTAAGATTGCCAGAAGATTGCATAACTGGCAAATGGTTATTGCTTTTTTGCAGTCTTTAGTGAGGCTGGAGGAGTTGAAAAAATTGTAGGCTTTCAAGTGCCATATGCTCAGTGCTATTTGTCTATTTATTTATTTATTTATTTATTTAAATTGCCCATCTGCAAGGAACACTGGAGTGGTGTATATGATAGAATGAAAAAATGCAACATAATAAAGATTGTCATGTGCAATACAACAACAATAAATTAAGAGGCATACAAACAATTTAACCATCAAACAAAGAAAGCAAACAATTAAAAATAAATTTAAAATGCCTGGGAGAAAAGTTTTGATTTGTTACCAAAAAGAAAGCAAGGGCACAATTATATCTCTCTTGAGAGCTCATTCCTAAGTTGATATGCAACTACTGAGAAGTCCTTTAATAAAAACATAGTGTTTTTTCCCACTGATGGTATTTGGAGAAGGCCCTCCTCCAAAGATTTTAATGTGTTACAAGGATGACCCTTCTACCAATGAAATGATAGTTCTATTTGTTTTTAAAGTCATATCTTTAAGAAGTTGGCATCGTTGGTTGCCTTCCATTTTATTCTCATAGCAGCTCTGTGAAATAGCTTAGGCAGAGAGATATTGACTGGCCTACTATCACCAAATGAACTTTATAATACAGAAAGTGAGAAGGAACTAAAGAGCCTCTTGATGCGGATGAAAGAGGAGAGAGCAAAAGTTGGCTTGAAACTCAACATTAAGAAAACTAAGATCATGGCATCCAGTCCTATCACTTCCTGGCAGATAGATGGGGAAGAAATGAAGGTAGTGACAGATTTTATTTTCCTGGGCACCAAGGTCACCACAGACAGGGACTGCAGCCAAGAAATTAAAAGATGCTTGCTCTTTGGGAGGAAAGCTATGGCAAATCTAGACAGCATACTAAAAAGCAGAGACATCACCCTGCCAACAAAAGTGCGCATAGTCAAGGCTATGGTTTTCCCAGTTGCAAGACTCTTGCAAGTCCCTTGGACTACAAGGAGATCAAACCAGTCAGTCTTAGAGGAGATCAACCCTGACTGCTCTTTAGAAGGCTAGATACTGAAGATGAAACTCAAATACTTTGGCCACCTAATGAGAAGGAAGGACTCCCTGGAGAAGAGCCTAATGCTGGGAACAAGTGATGGCAAATGAAGAAGGGGACGGTAGAGGATGAGGTGGCTAGATGGAGTCACTGAAGCAGTCAGCGTGAGATTAGGTGGACTCTGGGGGATGGTGGAGGACAGGAAGCCCTGGAGAAATGTTGTCCATGGGGTCATGATGGGTCAGACGCAACTTCGCAACTAACAACAAGAAGAAGAATATGAAGCCCAGTCTCCCCACTCCAAGTCTGAGAATCAGCCTTTTCCAACCTAGCACAGTTCAGCTATAGTGGACCGCGGCTCCCATCATCTCCTGGCAGCATAGTTAATAGGCATTGTGTCAGGTTGGGGTGCATTACTCTAATCAGTGCATCACATTGACTATCCATAGTTCTTGGCAATATCTTGTAGCAAAGAAGTCAGAAGAAGAAGCCAAAATATGTCATAATCATGTTCCTTGTACATAATACAAAAGGCAGGATTCTGCCTGTATGATTAAACTGAGGCCCAGTAATTTTATAATTTTTGAGCTATACCCCTGCAGCTCCTTTTTCAGTGGCAGTGTACAATATCTATGATGATTTATGTAAGTGTAATCTTGTTGCGCATGGTAGATGGAGATCAAAGAGTCAATGGCTGTATAGATGTGGGTACATGTATGGTGAAGTGCGAGGAAATCTGATGTGGGAACATAGACCCAACAAATATTTAAACACTCTAGACTGATGACTTCCAAGGTGGCAAAGCATCATTAAAAAGCATGGCTTGACTTTGCCAGTTGTGTGCTTGTTTTTTCCCCCCCAGGAGTTTCCATGAGTCTTCCTCTGCTGGAAATGACTGGCAGCTAAGGAGGAATTACCAGTCATTGCTTGGCAATCATTTAATGCTTTGTCTGACCCTTGCATAGCTGTGCTCCACGTAATATCTGCAACAGTAATGAATATGCTGTCTAGAAGAGGAGCTGCCCCTTCCCATGAGAAAGGAAGCCGTGATATCTTATAATGGTAGCACATTCATGCTGCAAAAAAACCCTTGGAGGAAGAGAAACCGAGGCCACAAGGCCGGAGAGTGGTCTAGTGGAAACACACATGGGATACACCCATGCGTTGGTTTTCCTGTTTGCACTTTGAAAGTGCAGTAGCCCAGGGAGCAGCTGTAGCCCTAAGTTTTTGGAGCATGGAGATAATTGGAGGTAGAAAGTAGGAGTCTACCTTATTCTTACTCAAGCCATTGGTCCATCTAGCTTGGTGCTGAACACACTGGGGTAAGTAACCTGGTTCCTTCCAGATTTTGGGGTCCAGGGCTTACATAATCCCTGACAGTTGACTGAGCTGTTGGGTGGTGTTTTCCAAAATATCTGAAGGTCATTGGCTTGTCTTCCAGTGGTCTACACCAACTGACAGTAGTTCTACTAGGTTTTACCCTGGAATCTTCTCAAGCTCTACTGGAGTTGTCACTGTCAGGGGTTGATTCTGAGACTTCATGCATGCAAAGTGTGCAAACAATAATGTGCAGCATTTCCCATGATTTTCATAAAGCTTCTGGATGTTTACACATCTTGAGACTTGCCCCTGACTGTTCCATCCTACAGCAAACACATACATCTTTGGTCACTTTCCAGCTTCCTGTGCTTATACCTATTTTTTTTCAAAATGTGAGTAGGGAAGTTGATTTTGGATGTAGCTCTTCCTTCTGTTTAAGGTCCTTGTATGCCTCTCTGGAAATGAAATGAGTTGAAGAAAAATGCTAATTGAGTACACTTGATGCCACAGAGGCAGGATAAAGTCAGTCAAGTCAGCAAAGAACCTGAAAATTCAAGAGGACCCCAGATCTTAAAGCCTCATATCTATATTAGTGTGAAATAGCAAGTGACACATCTAGTCTGCCTAATTAATTCACAGCTTCAGGCAAGGCCTTGTGTTCTGTCACAACCCAACCCATAAAATACCTTTTTGACTTGAATGCACAATTGACAAGTTGTTGAAAAAAGGTGTATCCCAAAAAGCGATGAGACACTCAAATTATCCACATCTTGCCTAGGGGAGGAAGAGCTCCCAAATTTCCTTAACCCTCTCTGAGGCAATACAAGAACATCGTTCTGAGAACACATTCTGAAGCCAAATTTGAGTTGGGGGGTTGATTGGACATTTGTTATCCAATTCTTTGGTCCAGAGAAGAATCTCAGGGAGGCAGTATTCTAAAAATCCAATAAGAAATTGAAGGAACAAATCAGTAAATCTCCAGTTTAGCAGCACAGCAGAAAAGACCAGCATAAAATAAGCATCCGATTCATGAGGCGAGGGTGGGCAAGGCTGGACACCTGCCAAGAACCTAAAACCCAGCAGGGCCCACCATGCAGGGCAAACACAGCAGTAATGCTCCCTGTTGTTGGAGTCTCTTACACCCACACTAATCCTTGCCTTGGTAACATTCAGAGTAGACTGCTGTACTGCCTATTATACATCAGGCTTCCCTTGAGACTTCTTGGTACCAGTTTGAGAGCTACAAGATTGCAGAGCAGAATGACATGATTGGAACACATTTTATTCATGTTAAAATTATGTTTGGCTTTCTGATTTGTTTCTGGGCATGATTCAGAGTCCTTGTTTTGACACCAAAGGGCCCTGTGGTTTAGGACCCAGCTATCAAAAGGATTATTTCATCCCTGCCATTTGATATCCATGTTGGAAGCGGTAAACAGGCTGCTCATGGCTTGAGAAAAGGCCTTTCCAATAATGGCTTACTAGCTCTGGAACACATTCCCCCTTGCCAAGAGTGCAGTCTTCTCTCTACTGAAGTTTAGGCACAACTGAAGACAGTTTATTTATCCAAAATCTTACCTGAGCAATGGCTGTGCTTTGAGCTACTTGGTTAGATTCTGTGATGGTTATATTGTGCTGTTGCAGTGATTGTGCATTCCTAGGAATTTGCATGCGTGTGTGTTCATCTGAAAGGTGGAATGCAACTGATTGAAATAAATGCTTGTGTTTGTTTTTTGTAGGTGATGAGCTAGAGTACATTAGGCCCAACTTGTATCGGAATGTTGCACGGCAACTAAACATCTCGCTGCACTCAGAAACCGTGGTGACGGATGCCTTCCTGGCAGTGGCAACCCAGATCTTCTCTTCAGGTACTGTACTATAATTCACACTATGAATGAAGGAAGGAAACAAAGCAAGGTATGTAAGTACCGGCATGTTTTAGGTGGGGCCCACTTGGCAAAGGATTCTGGCAGTCAGCAGTTTGGCAGGAATGCTGGACTAATGATTTAACACAAACCCCATGTATATTCTTCTGTTTTTTTTACACCTCATTGGGTGAGCAGATGTTCTAGCCTCTCCCTGTTCCTCTTCCCTGAGTAGGAGACCCTTTAATTTCAAGCTTTGAGTTGGTTCATGTTCCTAGCAATTACTGCCTTTGCTACCTGGGAATTTGTTTTGGATTTTGTCAGGCTCCTAGACTTGAATACAGGCTGCCAAGTTATTGCTTCACTCCAAAGGGCCTGTTTCTCCTGCTATGCAAGGCAATGACAGAAAAACCCAAAGACATGGAATTAGCTTGTAGTGAAGGAGTGTCATCACTTGAACTTTTGGGGCATTCATGTGCTAGGGTAATATTCTGCTATACAGTTTAACTTTTGATGAATCAATTTGTCATTATAATAATCTTTTCTTCAGAAGAATTCTCTGACTGTACAAACATACATTCTGTGTTACAAAGCAGGCAAACTGATAAGTTTTCCCTAAAATTCACTATTTGTTAACTTTTTCAGTATTTGTTTAATAATGGATTAATTTTGAATTCTTGCTTATCAGAAGGCCTGCACTGCATAGGAAACAAAGTAAAATAAAATACACTTGGACTAGGTAGGAGATGCTTAATGCCACAGCCTTCCTGTTTTTCTTCTTGAAAAATGTTATATGAATAAACTTGCAGTACAACTTACCCTTGTGCACCTTACCCAGAAATAAATCCCATTCTGTTCCACAGTAAGTATGCACAGGAGTGAACCTTAAGAGAAGAAGTCATCAAATTGACTAAGATAATGACTAAGAATCTGCTTTGAATCCGATATGCATGAAGTGGGTTCAAAATTCCAGTACATTGGGTCAGAAGTAAAGCTTCCAAGATGTGTATGTATTTTTTAAATTTAATCATGGACCACGTTTACACATTTGGCAGCCATTCCTGGCTTGCTTAACTCAGGAATTGTAGGAAGGGCCAGATTCTGCAGGTCATGCTTCTTCCATTTCCACTTTTGCTTCACAACATGAGAACCCAGAAACTGTGGGTTGTTTGTGGGCTATACAATCCAGGAATTGGTGCCATAAAATGCAACTACCATGTCAACAGTAGGGTCTTAGTTCTTTGCTGATTCTTGCTCATGCGTTGTTGGCTTTTCAAGGGTCAAGGACTGAAAAATACCCATCACCTTATAATCCTCAGGTAGGGTTAAATCCTGGACACCTGGTGTCTGCATGTTCAAATATTCATCACTGTGCTCCACCACAGTCTGATTAAAGTGCAAAAGAGCCATGGCCACCTCTATTTCGGTTGCTGTTTTTTCAGTCCCAATGAACTGAACAAATAATGACCTAGTTTACCCATAATTGTCCACAAACTATCTTGGCTTATTTAAACCACTGAGGATTGACTTGATCATGCAACTCAGAATTATCTAGGCAATTCCTGCTATGCTAAATTCTAGTTTTCCCCACATGTCATTTCTAACCTGGTGCTCTCTGGATACATTGAACTCCAGCTCACATTAAGCCCATACTTCATGGCCAGTGGTCAGAGGTTATAGGAATTATGGTTCATAACACCAGACTAGGGAAAACTGCTTTTTGTTTAATTGGGGCAGAATAGTAAATGAGATTGCTTCCCTTTCATGGTAGTGCAGATCAGTTTCTCAGTTGGTTGCCCTGCTCTGCTTAATGGTAGGGCCAACCACTGATTGGATTCAGACAACACAGTAACTCAAAGGGTGAGTGTTGGTTGAACTGTGGCTTTTTATCGAACTATGGATGATTGTCTTATTTGAATCCATACTTGCTAACCATAGTTTGTTAACCATGAACAACTGACAGTTTACAACCGAACAACAAGCAATAGATTCTTTTCATGAGTTATTTCTGGTTAACAAATTGGCTTGTTAGTACAACTGGGTTCAGAACCCATGATTCAACAACAACTCCTCCTCAACCATACTTGTGGGTTATCCTGTTGGCTGAATCACAGTGGCACAGAGAGTATTTAAATGTGTACGGGTATAAGCTTCAGACAAGGGCCTATAGAATCTTATAGAAAAGGCTGAAGGAGCCCCTTCCCAGCTGTCTTGCAGCAAATGCCCTTAGTGTGTTTTAAAGTAATCCCTGCTGTGTAAATAAAAGGGTGTTTAAGAGTGTTACATGGATAGATTTCCTTTCTTTTCTGTTTTGTCTTTTTCCAATGAGTGTTAAATGTACAGTCCTTTGATTCAAACAACATATGGATGGATGGTTTTGACTATAAAGTCAGGAGTGGCGGCAGATCTCTTCCTGTGTTTGTACTGCAAAACTTGAATATTGGACTTGATCTAAAACCACTGGATATAGTCTGTGGAAGCTGCTTTCTTTCAAACCTATAAACTTTGGGGGAGGTGTTTGTTTAGTTTGGACATTGTTAAGCAACTTGCACCACTGCTGATAGAGAGCACTCGCCTATTACCAAAAAACAAAACAAAATAGCTCCCTAGTTCCAAACTGACAGTATCTGGAACTGTGTTTCCTTTTTGTGTTGGACATTATTGTAGACTAGCCTTTCTCCAACCCACCATCTACCAGGTATTATGATCTGCAACTCCCATCATGCTCAGCCAGCATAGCCATACTGGTTGGAAGATTGAGAGATATAATTAATCTAACACACCTGGAGGACACAAAGTTAGTGAAGCCTATGCCTTTTTCGTGCATGTAATTAATGTGCAGAAAATTGTGCTCAATACAATAAAGCAAACTACATGGCATTTGACCCATGGATAGCTTACAGAGTAAAGTCCTTTAAAATGGGCACCTATATGGAAATATCCTGTTGTGTCCTGGGACAAGATAGCCAATGAAGCCTTTCTGTTCTGAATCAAGGGACAAATGAGCATTGTCCTAAACTTCCTTTGCTGACACTTGAGGAAGAAATTATTTCCTTCCAGCCCTTGTCAAGTGAAGACTCATCCATTTGGTGCAACTTTTAGCAAGCTTTGAATCTTCATTCATATACTGACTGGGTTTACATAATACTATTATGGTAGGGTTGTTGTTGAACCATGGGTTGTGGCTGAAATGTGGGCTGTCATGTTGTCCAAGCCCAACTGTGATAGCCACAAAAATGTACACAAACAATCCATAGTTCATAACCCAACAACAAACCGTGGCTTCCCTTCATGAGCTGGTCATGGTTAGCAAATCATGGTTTATTATTGTTGCCGGTTCCAATAACTCTACAACTCACATTTTAACAATTACCAGTGGTTCAGAAATGGTCCAAATTCAGCTCAACATTTGAGTCTTAGTTATGTTGCATGAGCTCAGTCGATATCTATTAAAGGGAAGGACTATGGCTCAGTGGTAAGGCATATATGTACTTTGCATTCGGAAAGCCCCAGGTTCAATCCTTAGCATTTCCACAGAGCTAAAAAACAATCCTCCTTGAAATCCTGGAGAGCCTTGTTCACATGACACAATAACCCAACATGGGTGATCTGCCATAGTAGTCTTGTTGGGCAAATTTGGCATGGTTCTTCAGGGTGGCTTATTTTTAATGACCACACTACTCTGAGAACCCATTGCTTAGTTTAGGTTTGTTGATATGCATGAAACCTTGTATTGTCCATGGCCAACAGGGTGACTTCATTATGGATTGTGGGAACAGCTAGGCAGCCACCCAACAAGGGCAGAGAAAACCCTTGGTACTTCTTACATTCTCACTAATGCTGCCACTATCCTCCCTTGTGCTTTCTCAGCACTGTCTGCCCCATGCTCCAAAAAATAGCAAAGAAAGGAGAGTGTCTTGAATGATTTTGCAACTTTAAAATTTATTTTTATTTTGGGTCTTGTGCAATTGTGCAGGAGCAATTGATAGCTGCCTTGCAATGTTGCAATGTTTGCCTCCTTTTACAGCTCCTATTTGAGATTTGCACAATGTTCACCTCTCTTTATGGCACTGTTTGAAATTTGCACAATTCACCTCATGTGTAAAATGCCCCTGGCATGACATCTGTGTACATTTAGGGATGCTGCTCACTTCTCTGTGACCCGTAGGTAGGGCGGGCAGCTAACAATGGCGGGAAGTAACAAACAGGAAGGGAGGTGGGAGGAGCCAAAGCAGCAGGAGAGGAGGTGTTTTGCCAGTGGGTGTTCCTCTTTCATTTTCATTGTCAAGTGAAGCAACCTTTCTTTAAAGGAAAAGAGGATGTATGCCAGGAAAGGAAGCTTCGATGTGTAGGACAAGGACAAGAGGAGAATACGGGGGCGCTTGACTAAATATTCCCCCCAATTTTTTTATTTTAAATGCTGGCAAACACATTCCCCCATTCATAAGGTTTCAGAAAATTATTTTAATTTTACAATTTGATGGGAGGTGGGGAGATGGAGCCAAATGTGGCTCGCAGCTATTCTTTCTCTAGTGTTATTTTAAGCATCCTTGCATTCACTAGTGAAGCAAGTACCGAAGTAGAGAATGAATTTAACAAGAAAGGTATATCAATATGCTGGGCTAAATATTAGAGAGGTCACATTGCACATAAGCAAAATTTCCTGGGCAATATGTATATATGTATATGTACATGCACCAACATGCTACCAGCTTTGTAAAGCCTGGGAAAATTAATTCAATTTGGCAATTTGATGGAGTGGCAGTAGAGGAGGAAATTACCCTCAGTAACCGGCAAGCCCAGTGGACCAATTGCTGAAGGACAGGACGTTGATGCAGCTCCTGAGGCAACAAGGAGTTCGTAGGGCCACAAGGTTGGTGGCCGGTTTGCAGGGGTTGCCGTATGAGGCGAGACTGAGGGAACTGGGTCTCTTCAGCCTGGAGGAGACTCAGAGGGGATCTGTTGGTGACATACAGGTCTGTGAGGGGATGTCACATGGAGAT